CGACCTTGACTCTGCAGACGACATAGCGGAAAACACCAGAGATCTCCAACCCCTAGTGACCAACCAACATAGTCCGTCTGCAGACAGCATTGGGCTCAGCATCAGGGCCATCAATTAACATGCTGATAGGGACACACGCTCCTCTTAGAAGTGTGACCATTGACGAGAACAAATTGAAAGTGGCGGAGAACTTCACCTACCTTGGGAGCTTCACCAACAACAAAGGACAGATGGACAATGAGCTAGACTGTAGACTTGGAAAGGCCTCAGCAGCCTTCAACCAGCTAGACTTACTATGTGGAAATCCTACTATGTGGAAATCAGCCTACTATGTGGAAATCAGCCTACTATGTGGAAATCAGCCAAGAAAAGAAAAAAGAGACTGGAATCACTGGATGCTTCTGATAGTGAATGCGTGAGGAAGATCTTAAGCATCAGACGACAGGACTTCATACCCAACACAGATATATGAGCCAGAGCTAACCAACAGCCAGTGTCTACAATCATACGCAAGCGGCGTTTCATGCTAGAAGACGTCTGCCATCTAGACTTAGGTAAACTTGTCTTTTAATATTGAACAGGTTTGGGGTCAGATAAACTATACCAAGGCATGTGCGTTTGCATGGAACATGGGTCGGAATTAGGACCCCTCCTTGCTGGCAGCCAGGTGCGTTAATAACAGACAAGGCCCAAATTTGCATATGTAGCCAAAAATAATGGTTCTATCTTTACTGAAATGGCTTAATTTAATTCGTTATCCCTCAAAACATGGGGATAGACACCAAAATTATTCTGATACCATGAGTAGTTACTGAGATATTGACGAAAAACAGATTTTCAGTAATGGCCGCCCTAATTTGCATATTGCGCGGCCAAAATTTGCATATTTAGCAAAAAATTATGGTTCTATCTTTACTGAAATGGCATGATTTAATTCGTTATCCCTCAAAACATGGGTATGGACACCAAAATTATTCTGATACCATGAGTAGTTACTGAGATATTGACGAAAACTGGAGTTTCAGTAATGGCCACCTTAATTTGCATATTGTGCGAATTGCCCAAGGATGACAGAGTGGCATCATTCAGATTCTGAAAGAGCACACCTCAGAGATATAGAAACAACAAAAAAACCTTGGTAATGCAGCAGAGCTTCTAGTTTTTGCATCTTTTGTCCTGGGCATGGTAAGGTCTTGATTTTTGTGTGGCACGTAGGTTTTCCTAATAAGTGGTGTGGGTTTGGTCCCCCTAGCAGCTTGTTCTTGAACTCAAGCCCATATTCCATGGATGTATGAAGTCTTTGAACTGTTGTTTAGAATTAAAGACCGTTACCTCTGTGGTTATACAGACACAGAAACAGTCTACAGAACACTGTCGTAAAGCTGTTGCCCAGCCGATTATGGACAACACCTTGTCCCTCTGCACTTGTTATGTTCCTATGCGGTCATGATCAGCCGAGCCAGTGAACCGGTACATTCAACAAACAGATTTGTACATTTGGTACAGGCTGTACATGACTGGAGTCATAGGTTTAATGGGGTTCATTGGTGTGGTGGGATTTTTAACATGCTCAAGGTGTGGCTCTATCTAAACATGAGACTAGTTGTGCCATTCTATACTACTGATACTAAGTACTATACTATTGTACATAATCTTCTGGAAAGTAAAGGAGTTTTCTAGAACTGTTGTAGTTGTCATACGTTGTACCACATACAATCGTTAAATATGATCAAGATTCTAAACGTCCTTGATATGATTATGAGCTTTAATCATGCAGCTTCGAGTACAGAAAACATAAATTCTTTATGACGAAATTATGTTCCAGTGTGTGCATAAACTTGTCTGGGCCCGATGAAGGGTCGCATTGCGACCACATCGTTAACTGCACCTGCAGTTAAATATAAATTATTGTGAATTAAACAAAGTGTAACTTTGATACTGCCTTGCCAGTTTGCAGTATTATAGTCTATCTCGGTTTGAAAAATGTCTTATCTGTCTCGAGTTAAACATATTCTTTAAGTTCTAAATATTCAGGAACTCAGTACATACAACGCCGTACGTATTGACACGGACCGTAGTAAACTTCGGGTAGGTTGTTGACTGAGAAATTGTGGGTTCCTTTCTGATAACGAAAGAGTCGTTCAATCTAAAGGACAGTTAAAGTAGTTTACAGTAACCCAGTATTATAGTCCATCTCGGTTTTGAAAATAATTCTTTTATCTGTCTCGAGTTCTTCTTCTTCTTCTTCTTTCGTTTAAGGTAGCCACCTTCATCAATTTGAAGATTCTGCTGCCTATAAAACTGGTAGTAGGTGCATGCTGGGGGTTCAGATTTTAGATCTTACATCTGAACTCCTCCAAAGAAGGGGAGAGAGCAATATCTGCCTCAAGATCGTTCCAATCTGAGATTGTCCTCGGGAAGAATGAATTCTGCCTGTAGGAGGTCCTACTGTAAGGGATCTTATAGGCTGCTGGATGAGACTGCCTAGTAGCCCTGGTCTGGGCACTGAGGGTGGGCCTTGTTGACAGATTGATGCACAGTGCACCGGTGTGGTACTTGTAGAAGGTTACAAGTCTGGCGATTCTTCGTCGCTCCTGGAGGGAGACCCACTGGAGCTCCTCCAGCATGTTACTTACACTGGAGGTGCGCATGTAGCGTTGGGTCACCCAGCGGGCGGCTCTGCGTTGAACCTGTCCTAGCCTTGTTATATCCTTAACTGTGTAAGGGTCCCAAACTGGGCTGGCGAACTCTACGATAGGTCGGACCAAAGTGCAATATGCGAGTTCTCGGATCTTTTTAGAGCGAACTTTCAAATTCCTTCTCACGAATCCGAGAGTTTTGCTGTTAAACAGCAAAACTGAGAGTTAAACATATTCTATGAGTTCTAAATGTTCAGGAACTCAGTACATACAGCGCCGTACGTATTGACACGGATTTCCTGTAGCTTAACGACGCCTTTACTGTACGAGTACAGGGGGAGATGTCTCTCAGTCGGCGGAAAGCTTGTTTATAGAATGAGGAAAGGAACCGTATTACAGTATACTATATTTTGGAAAGCCAATATAAACATATAGAAAGGACTAATCATATGTTGTTGCATTTTCTGCTCTCAGATAAGTGTGAAAAACATGGCACTTACTACAATTTGGGAAAACTTTGCGACTATAAGAAAAGACTTAGAAACGCAACATTTCCTGTAGCTTTTTGACGCCTGTACTGTATAAGGGGGAATGTCTCCCAGACGGCGGAAAGCTTGTTTATATGAACGAGGGAAGGAACCGTATGTTTTTGGAAGGCCAGACATAAACATATAAAATGACTAGGCATAATAATGTTATATCTTGCGGCGATTCAGCATCAAATTATGGAAGATATTTAATATTTCAGGTAAAACCAAAGATTAAATAGCATATAAAATGATACTTGTGTTTAGTCGAACGAGGTTGGTAAGAACTAAGTCATAATAATCAAAAAGATCGTATGGCTTTTGAGATCAGGATTGGACAAGTTTTCAAAAATACACTTGCCCCATCGGGCAAGCACATGGTCATTTCTACTTGCCCGAACCAACTTTTTACTTGCCCAATGCAAAATATAAATGACCTATTTCATACATTTTTACCGCAAAGAATTTTTTTCAGTAAACTCAGCACTTTATATTGTTCTATACTTGACCAATATTTTCAAAAGTAAGGAGGTTTGAGACTTGCAAATGGTTCGCTGATAAAAAGTCATATTATGGGAAAATGATGAGAGATTTTGCTCCAAACACTGGGGCATAATGCCACATCCCAAAAATTTACTTGCCCATTCGGGCAAGTACAGGGGGATATTTACTTGCCTGAACAGTACTTTTACTTGCCCTGGGCAAGTGGGCAATGGGACTTGTCCAACCCTGGAGATGCCTCTAGTTAACTCATTATTGCAATGCCTTTTTATATTGTATTAAAGTCCATGTAAAACGTACGGAAAAACGCGTTATATCAACGTTACATTTACTGATGTGGAAATGTTACGGAAAGGCCATATTTCCCTTTCAGTTGCCTTTCCGATGTCGTAAAGGCTGCTAAAATATTTCGCCTTCTTTAATACTTCTTAACGCAGTTCGTAAAGTTGGCTTAAATATGTGTTTTCGTGCTGTGCGCCGGTTCTGGATACGCG